ACACATGGGGATGGATACAACACAGAAAAGTATTCTTTATTTTTCCTTAAAAAAAAAAGTTCAAGAAAAAAAATAGATGTTGATTTACTTTTATAAAAATCTTAATTTTTACTATTATAAATTTATGATTAATTAAAGTACCAATTTATTTTTATATTTATTTTCAATATCAGAATAAACACTTTTTTATGCCATAGATTATTATTATCCTTACTAATGTTATAAATGTAAAAGTGAGTTTGTTTGTTAATTTATAGTGCTTTAACAGCCTAACCTATCACTATGGGGGGGAAAGGGATTGTTAGGAATGGAGATTGATACCCCTATTGTTAGCAATATACCCTATTAGGTTGACCTCCACATGGTTCCCCCTGGAAACCATCGTGAACAATTCTTATTGAATTCGTCACGATGGGCTAACTGACCTGTTTCATTCATCATTACCTATCATCGTTCACTGGTGCCCCACCAGTGTATACCAATAGCACGGGTTGGTTACCATACCATTTAAAAACCTATCACTATGAAATTTTATATACATATACAAAATGTGGTCGAGGGATGGGCAGCAGTGTTCCTGTTAAAACATCCTTAAGGCCTAACTGTGGTTGCCAATTCGCTTTCTAAAGGTGGCAACTACTTGCAAAAACCACCCAATAGAGGGAGTCCTGTTTTCAACAGTGGACAATTAACAGCTGATATGGTATGGTATACTAATATGGGATAAAAAAAGTTAGGCTTTACTTTTATCCGCACTGTTTCTTTATTTATACTTTTTATTCTGGAGTTATGCAGATGGTCACAGGTAAAAACTAGTTATTTAAAAAATAAACCAACCAACCAACCACACATAGAGAAGTAAGTAGGTACTTATATATTCTAAGATTTATATTTCAAAATAAACAATTTTTAAGCAAACAGATAATTATTATTTCATAAATAAATTAACCACAGAACATAAATAATTATAATTTAACTAATACATACATGTTATTCAATTTATTAACTAGATTTAATATTTTAATATGATTCACATGATAAAAGTTAGAATTGCTTCAAGAATACAAATATATGTTAGGCTTATGAAACAGCCAAGTATAATATTTATAAAGGGAAGGCGGCATTAGTCATAGCATTTAATAAGAATGATGAATACTAACTTTTCCCAATGGAGTTACAACCCTATTCCAGGAATTAGGGACTGTGCCCCAACGAGTTCGAATGTAAAACGTTTCTAACTAATTAACATGTTAGATCACACAAGGTCACATGAAAATACATGTGGCAAGACAAATTTGAACTAAACTAGTGCTAAAATAACCCGAAAATTCGACGTGTGTGGTACCCCTTGGCAACGCGCGGAAAAATCAATATTCACCCGGAAAAATACTATTTAGTTTTTAATTCAAAACAGTAATGCTTTACTAGCAGAATTAATAAACTATTTAATGCAATTTCATTCATAATCTGCAATTACTACTGTAATCAAATAATCGATGAGCTGTGACGTCCGCGCTGACCCGTCTGTTTACGTTATTTTACGAGTAAAAAAAAAAAGTATAAGAATAACAGATGCTTGGCCGTGCAATAAACAATGGGGAGCTAAATTAGATCAGCACTTGTATAATGTACAGGATAATTATTTATTTGTTTTGCTAAATAAAGCCCCGTCGTACGATGAACTCAACTGAACTTACCTCATTTTGACGCTCGTATCCTTTGTCGAGATCAATCCTTATGCACTAATGCACAGCACGCAACAATTGTTCACTTATAAAATGCATATTTTCACAGACACAAAAGAACATTTCCGTATTATCGACTGGCGTACACGTCTGGGACACTCCGTAGGGTAGCCATTTTTGTCAAAAAACACTTTTTACGTCCCTTTTCCCAATTTTGGAACGTAATGAGCGAGAGGACGCTAGCACCGCACCGATCCAACGAATGAAAATAAATGGATCATTGAACCGGCGAACACGCCGAGTCTTGTCCGTATTGCCCTAGTGATTAAAATCTTAGTTCAGCACGAACGAAACACCTCTACCCTTATTCCTATGTTCACAGTGAAATAACGCAGTACACATTTAAGACTGAAGCTCGATTTGGAACGTCATTTATATTTTATTCCATAATCGGTACTGCTCACTATATTTGGTCGGATATTATTTTATCTTGTACGATAGCCAATCACGAACTAAGAAATGTTTAAAATTCACACACTTAGCGACATCTATTGAATAGTAGACAGAACCTTTATGAGAGTTTGACGTTTATTTTTGACAAGATGACACTAGTAAAAATTACAATCCTATTAATTTGCTAATTACTCAAATATATTTTTAAGAAATAATATAAAGTTACCAGAATTCTAAGATGGAATTTTCTTTTTAAATATACAATATAATTTATATTGTAATATGCGTCATTATGTTTAAGTTTTGAAATAGTTTCACAACCTGGAGATCGCGGGGGGAAAGGGATTGTTAGTAATGGGGTCTGATGTCCCTATAACTAGCAATACACCCTATCAGGTCGTCCTCTTCGCGGTTCCGCCTGGAAACTATCATGGTTAATTCCTGATGAATTCATCATGATGGGCTAACTGGCCTGTTTTCATTCTCATCTATCACCCTTCACTGGTGCTCCGCCAGCGTATCCCGTTAGCGCAGGCGGGGTTACCATACCATTTTCACCCATCAAAAAAAAAAAAAAACCTGGAGATCGCTGTTTAGAGTTATATACACACTAGCTGACCCGGCAAACGTTTTATATAAAGATTAGTTTGAACTAGATTGAGACCCAGACAGGTGTACACACAGCATGGTTAAAGCAGTTGGCAAACAATGTTAAATTATAAATTATATAAAGAAAACATATGAATGTTTTACCATATAGGTACATTATTTCTAGAACTATGCATGAAAATTCATCGTATTAAAATTATTATCGATTGCCATCTTGTAATCTTATTAAGTAATATAAAAATCACGATTAAAAAATAGGGATTGATCGTAAAAGGGTGAAAATTAAAAATTGTATGTATTTTTCAATGCAAAAGCATAAAAAATAAAAATATTTTGTGAAATAAATAAATATTTAGGGGTGGGTCACCTTTATCATTGATGGGTATGAAAAATAGATGTCCGATTCTCAGACCTCCCTAATATGCACACAAAATTTCATAAAAATCGTTTCGGAGGACCTTGGTAACAAACACGGCGACACGAGAATTTTATATATTAAATAAGGGGGGAGGGGGTCATGTGTGGATATTATTATATATATTATAACAATTCTGAATCGTTTTCTTATTTTTAATATAAAAACATATTTCATAGTAAATAACAACAAAAAATAATTATAAAGTTAACCAATTATTTATTTTAAATAATCAATACGACGTTTGTTTTACAAATTTATTAATATACAAGTAATTATTTTAAACAAAGACACAAATTCTTTTTCATTGATAATGCTTTGCTGAAAGTTTAATATTTTTTTTTTTGTGATCATATGGAACGGTACAGTACTATAAATTGTATTTTTTTTCCTTTATTTTTTTTTTATTTTAGTGTATTCGGATAGGATACTAGTGAAAAGGTTGAGAAACAATTAACTCAAGCTTGGCTGTTGTTTGTTGATTAATTGCAGTGTTGCCAATTATCTTTTTGATGGATCTTTCCAGCCCTTTTTATCTTTATACAGCCCTATTTGCTTTCAATTTACTTCTAGCGTCAATTATAGCCCTAAACACAAGTTTACGACAGATTTTACTGTAGAAATTTTAAAATAAATTATACAAATTGTTAAAAATAAATATAAAACATCTGTTAAAGAAATATATTATCTAAAATACAAAAAAGAAATCCTTTCACAACATAATATATTTTACAATTAAGTGTGTTTTATATACCTAATTAGTAAATAAAATTTATTTATTTAATTTGGAAAGCACAAATAACAATTTAAAATATACATAATGAATTATAGATATACAAGACATTGGACAAGATTCGATACCCTACAACGTGTTAACATGAATGATATGCAGTTTAATTAAACAATGGCAACTATTAAAACAATACTAAAACATGTGATTTAAAAGAAAAATATAGGTCCATATAAAGTTAAAAGCGGCATTACATTTTTTATTGTCATTATTATTTTAGATTAGAGAATTGCATGATTATTTAAGATAACTTTCACGGGACTTGTGCTCATTAAATTGATAATCGTAACTTGTTTTTTTAAATATGAATGATCTGGACTCGAAAATATTTACTACCAACCCGGCTACAGATTTGTTTGGGAGAGAAGCTGGTTATACAGGTGACACATTATAAGCAAGGGCTAATTGTATGACATACAAATATTTTAAGTTGGTAAAATAAATGTCTTTGGATTACGTAAATCTGTATTTATATTCAATCCGTCAAGCAATCCTGGGGACACTATAGTTGAGTGAATTATCTTTTGCAAAAACACTAGATCATGCTCTTGACGTTTGACGTAAAGAGGCGTAATGTTAAACATCTTTAATCTTTGATCATAAGATTGCAGTGTTCTACCGAAACCTAGTTTGTATGCTAATGTTTTCAAGAAACGCATTTGATTTTTTTTTATTCTTTTAGAATATACAGAGTAAAATGGCGACCAAATTAAAGAACCATATTCGAGAGTACTTCGGACTACACTATTAAATAGAGTTATATAACTATCTCGATTCCTAAAACCTCCAGTACATCTACATATGAAACCTAATTATTCGCTTTTTTGGTAATGTAATCGTAGTGATTACGAAACGATAATTTTTCATCAAATAAAAAAATAAATCTTTATTCATTTTATACACGTAAACCTATCCAGAACAATAGATTTCATTTAATAAATAGTCTATAAGTAGATAGCAATTCAGCTTAATTTTCATATTTCAACTAATCTTTTTATTTTTAATTAATATAGCCCGAAAACTTGATTCTTAGTTGTCAACACTGACAGGATGACTGATTTGTACTTGACAGTTGAGTTTTTTGGGAACGAACAGTCTGTTTTTCTCATCACAAAGGTTCCTTTTTTGAAAACATAAAAATAATGGTGGGCGCTATGCCTGTTAATTTGATACCAAAATTTTACAACGGTACCATGGACAGTCATAATGGTACGGACGATAGTGATTTCCAAGTGTATATCGGTTGTCGCATTAAGTGTGGTGATGAGTTTGGTACCGTGAAGTTTATTGGTGAAGTGCAGGGTTACCAGGGGGTATGGTATGGGGTGGAATGGGACAACCCAGCTAGGGGAAAACATGACGGTTCAGTTGATGATGTGCAATACTTTAAAACGTCGAAACCAGGCGCAGGGTCTTTTATTCGTCCAAACAAAATAACTCCTTACAGGACCTGTGCGGATGCTATCAGGAAATATTACGGAGATCGAGAGGTGAGTTTTGTTTGAAAAAGGTTTGTTTGCATATATTTGTCCTGTCTGAAGGTGTGATAAAATCAAACTGGAATAAAATAGAAATCACGTCCAATTGACGTCAAATTAATGGTAGCATTAACCATTTTAATTTACTGTGTGAGGACTGTTTAATATGTGACACAGGACAAAGTAGGTTAGTCATGTAATTAGAATACTTTGTTGTTCAGAGAGCATAAATTATTAGTAATTGGGACATTGTTAGCCATAGAATGTACATTAGGTTGACTAGGATATCATCTTTGTTAATTTCAGGCAAAATCTAGCATGGTGACTGAGTTAACTTCATCCTCACCTATCAATTTCTCTCTTGGTATTCCATTTTTGTCTCATAAAACTAAAAATTCTATTTATTTTTACATTTGACGAAATCAGTAAAAAATGTTGGTAAACTGAAATAAGTACATAAATAAAAATGTTTTTGTTCCAATTGATTTAATATTATTATATATTATTATTAGTTTTGATTATGAGAATGTATTAAAAATTATGGTTACTAGATTGACTTCAACCCTAAATATCATCAGTGCAGTAAAAATAAAAACTGCAGTAACAGTTAAAGCTTCTAGAACATACCATAGACAAGAAATTACTAAAACATATTTTATGGATTCAAAAAACAAAAAAGTGTCAATATAAATATGATTAGATCATGAGATCTGTTCTCTTGGTGAAGAATCTGCTAAGGCAGGATTATATTGCCCCAAATATTGTGGTGTTTGAATCGTTTTGTAGGTTCATTTAGAGCTGTGGCTAAGGTGCTAACATGTGCATTATATGTTTTTGCTGTGTACTTAATTTTCTCTTTGACAATGTTGATTTATATATATATTTATGTGGTTCAGAAACCATAATAGAGCATATGCTGTCATTTTTAAATATATTTTTATCTATTTATTTTAAATTTATTTTGAAATCTTTCAAGAATTTTTACATTGTGAAACTTTACAGAGTCCTTATAGTTAATTTTCTATCCTACTCATACCAATCAATATTATTAACAATTGTATGTCTAACTCGTTTATTTATAAAAATATCAAACATCTCATAAACCTATATTTTAATTAGTGAGTCCTTTGTCTCTTTTCTTTCACACTAAATTCTCTTCACAAAAATAAAGTGAAACCTTGATCTTGTACATGTTTATTATAATTTGTACAAGAATAGCACAATTAAAAGTATGAAATAAAAACATTATTTTTCTTTTTTGTATAAAGAGCCAACAAGGAGTTTATATACCAGTTATTAATGGATCATTCCTGATTTGAACGGAAGTGACAAAACAGTGTAACAGTTAAAATAGGTTTATAGAAGGTCATAACTTTTATGAATAAGTTTACTTACTGTTGCATAAAAGTAATTTTTAAATTTTATAATAAGATTTTAAAAGGTGTTAATAATAAATGACCTTGAATTGATTTGTTACAGGATGAGACAGTTGCGGCCCACCGCAGAACAGTCATCAACGAGTGGAAGAGAGAGATGGGTGCACCATTTATTGAGATGGTCGGATTTGAGAAGATACATCAGAAACAGTATGTGATATGTTTCTGTACTCTTACTATATCATCGTCATCATCATATCAGTCGTTAACTATCCATTGGTGAACATACCCCTCCTCCTATTGAGGATGCCAGTAGAATTTTTTTTTACAACACAGGGGGCAAACATGCATGCGGCTCACTTGATGGTAAGTGACTACCGCCGCCCATGATCACCCATAACACCAACGGCATTGCAGGTGTGCTGCCGGTCTTTTGAAAAGCAATGTGCTCGTTTTTTCAGGTTATGTTAAGTTGCCACACTTGCCAGGCAGATTGGCACCGCAGTTAGGCTTTGGTGATGTTTAAAGAGGATGCTGCTGCTCATTCTTTGACCGTTAAGTTCTCTTAGTCGCCTCTTACGACACCCATGGGAAAGGAATGGGTAACCCATTCTATGTCGTGACCATTCAGCACGATGGTTTCTAGGGGGTACCACTTAAAGGTCGACCTGACAGGGTATATTGCTAACAATAGAACAGGTTGGGGGGAAAGCGATTGTTAGTAATGGAGACTGAGAATCCCATTGCTAGCAATATACCCAACCAGGTCGACCTCCTCGCGGTTCCCCCTGGGAACTATCATGGTTAATTCCTGTTGAATTCATCATGATGGGCTAACTGGCCTGTTTTCATTCTCATCTATCATCCTTCACTGGTGCTCCGCCAGCGTATCCCGTTAGCGCAGACGGGGTTACCTTACCATTTTCACCCATCAAAAAAAAAATAGGACAGGTAATCCGCATTATTAACAAACCTCCCCAGAGTCTAGCACTTGGGGCGTGAGGGTGGGAGGGAGTTCGGATAGTCAGCGCCCGAGAGCGTCGGGATCCGTGTGGGATTCTGACGTCCAAAAGGAGTGAGAGGTGAAGGAAGGTATTAATCTATCAGATAACTACCTATATGTATAAAATCTGAAATTATAATCTAAGCTAATGGCCCACCTGATGAACAGATGTCGCCTATAGACCTGAATAGCACCATGAATATAACAGCGCATACTGTGTCGCCCATAATCTTTCTCATGCGTCGCCGTTCCTGCCAACTAAAGTGTTATAAAACTCGATTACAGGAAATTCGACCGGCTGCTCGAGGTGTGCGTACACGATCAGAACGTCAGCAAGGCGGGTGACGTGGCGGCGCTGTGCCCCAACGTGCGCAGTATCGACGTGTCCAGGAACCTGTTCTCCAACTGGCGCGAGGTGATACAGCTGTCAGCGCAGTTACCCGACCTTCGGGAGTTGGATGTGAGGTGAGAAGTTAGCAGACTTGAATAACACCTGACTCCTCAAGAATGGCAACGCACGGGAGGTATCATGGGCGAAACAGTATACTCTGTTATGTCCTTGGTACTGCTCATGTGTATAGTCGACGGTTACCACTTTCCATCAGGTGGGCCGTCAGCTTGTTTGCCATTCTAAGTTGTATAAAAAAAATTTGATTGTATTTTTTTTTTATAAATAGAGATGTGTAATATCCGATATTTAGATATTGTGCGTGTAAATTAATCGCCATATCCCACCCTTTAAACCGTAACACAGCCATGCAAACACAACTGTTTCACAGTAGAAACCCGAATGGGACAGAGGTGTACAAGCAAACGACTTTTTTACAAAGTCTCCCTCTATTATTGATATTCTGGTATTGTTGACCAACCATTACGATATCGCCCAAACAAATCGGGTATTTATATTCTTTACGTACGGTTCTTCCTTTCAACATTGTATATTGGATAAGCAATAGTTAACATGTGTTATTAGGCCAATATAGATATTTACTACATTTTTTTTTTAATGGATGATAATGGAATGGTAACCCCACCCGCGCTATCGGTATACACCGGCGGGGCATCAGTGAAAGATGATATGGTAAGGCTGAAGCAGGTCAGTTAGCCCGTCGTGACGAATTCAACAAGAATTGTTCACGATGGTTTCCAGGGGGAACCACGTGGAGGTCGACCTAATAGAGCATATTGCATTTACTACATATTACCCACTCTTATTAGTAAGGCAAACGATGTTATATGGAGATAAGGCTCCATGCCTTATCTCCATATAACATCGAACAGACAACTCCATACAAAATCAAACAGACTGGCGTGTAAAATGTGGGACAGGAAATAGAGGGCAGTATAAGAAGGACAGCAGAAAAAATATGGTACAGTCTAACGGAAGATAGAGGAAGATGTAGGGGTCTTGAGGAAATGAAAAGCTTTATAAACTGTAATATAATTTATTTATGCTACCATACAATTTATAATTTAATAATCGTGGCAGAACCATTTATTTTTATTTAGAAACTAGATTACTTACAGTCTTAACAATAGAATCATCCTTTTTAAAATATCATTGCAATCCCAACTGTACTTAGTTGGTGTTTTAAAACAAAACAGAAAGGGCAACCGCCCAAATATGGCATAAGTCCGTCCCACGCACCGCCTCAATACGACAGCCAAAATGCGCCCACGTTGCTAATCTTGTTTTGACGACCTTCGTGTCAGTTAAAATCGGTCTCAGTATAGAACAATCTTTGGGGACTAGCGGCCCCATTGTTAGCAATGTACCTTCTCAAGTTGATTCACGCGGATCTGGAAATCATTGTGATTAATACTCGATAATACGTCACGATGGGCCAACTGACCTGTTTTCATTCTCACCTATGATTCCACACTGTCAGCGTATATATAAATAGCGCGGGCGGGGTTACCATTTAATTTTCATTCATTAATAAAAATATTACAATCGAGAAAATTTTATAAAAAAAAAAATCGATACCTTCAACAAAAGTGTGTATTCCTTATTAAAAGGCTGGCAACTCACTTGCAATACTTCCGCTATTCTCGGTGCTCATGGGCGGGGGTAGCCATTTACCACTAGGTGAATCACGAGCTCGTTTGCTCTCTGTATAATAAAAAAAAAAACAAAAATAAAATTACAATTGCAACCCCTTGAACACAAAATTTAATATAAACTAATATATTTAGAAAATCTCATTGTCAAATAGATTTTTTTTTCGAAAAATTACATTATATACCTTTTTATTTACAGCAAAAACCGCATGGCGGTTGACATCCCTGAAGAGGCTCTTGCACAACTATCAATCAACTTCTCCAATTTGGAGAAACTGAACATTTCCGTGTGTGAGTACGAGTGGGCAGACATACTAGCTCTGTCCCACCTCTGGCCGAATGTAAATGAAATAATAGCTGCACACAACAAAATCAAATGGATAACCGCCCCTCAGTTAACATTACACACGCTGACAACCCTACGATTAGATGGCAACCCTATAGATTCTTGGCGGGAAATTTTGAATTTGGGAAAGATGAGGAATTTAAAAGTTCTCAGTTTGAACGACTGTCACATTGGTGAAATAAGGTTCAACGATGAACCCAACAACAAAAAAGTGGATGTTTTTCAGAATTTGGAGGTGTTGTTTTTAAACAGGAATAGAATTAATGATGTAAGTAGCCGTTTTTTATTGCTGGAATAATGAATTAAGGGATTTGGGAGGCCAGCAGCACACCTGCAATGCCGCTGGTGTTGTGGGTGATCATGGGCGCGGTAGTCACTTACCATCAGGTGAGCCGCATGCTCGTTTGCCCCCTGTGTTGTAAAAAAAAAATACCAGAGAAAGACTTTGTACAAAAGTCGTTTGCTTGGGCACCTCTGCCCCATTCATGTTTCTACCGTGAAGCAGTTGTGTTTACATGGCTGTATTTCAGTTTGAAGGGTAGGATATAGCAGTGAATTTACTGGGTACAGAGGAATAACACCTTAATCCTCAGGAATGGCAACACATGGGGGGATCATGGGCGAAACAGTATACTCTGTTATGTCCATGGTACTGCTCATGTCTATAGGCGACGGTTACTACTCTCCATTAGGTGGACTGTCAGCTTGTTTACCATTCTAATTGGCATAAAAAAATAATAAAAATGGGTTAATTATATTTTATTGATTTATTTACTTTTTATTGCACCATTGGTTAGAGAAGAAATGAAAGAAGTGGTAGCTATTTTGTGCAATAACTACCAATATGTAATAAAAAAAAACGCTCGTGTTAAAAAAAGTATTAAATATTTATAAAGAAAGGGTTATTTTTCAGTGGCGATCCGTAAGCGAATTGGACAAGTTGAGCAGGCTAAAAAAATTGTACTTCCTAAAGAATCCAATCCAAGCTGGCGACTCATACGACACTGCTTCACAACTCATCACCGCAAAAATTGGCACCCTACAGGTATGTTGACAGCCTTCTCTATGTAATTGTCTTCACGTAAGGCCCTTTATAGGGTAGGCAGAGGTAACCGAATGACCCATCCCTGTCCGTACAAAGTAATAATAACAAACAAGCATTTATTTCGTTGTCATGGGGTTCCAGTATAGAATAATCCACCCCTTTCTTTCCCGTGGGTGTCATGAGAGGTGACTAAGGGAGCTTAATGATCGAGGGATGGGCAGCAGGGTGGAATTAAAAGATCTCTAAAACCCTAACTGCGGTTGCCAACCCACCTGCCAAGTGTGGCAAAAACTGACAAAATTCCCCTTATGGGGAAGGCTTATGGGATCAACAGTGGATAGTTAATGGCTGATATGATGATGTTGATTTATTTAGTCATTACACATACACAATTATTGCTTCAATAGTTTCCATAAAATTTTATATATATTTTTTTTTACTCTGTATCACTCGTGGTTCTACCATAAATCAGCTGAGCTTGCATAGCATTATTCTTTTTTGAAGAGTAGAATATAGCATTGATATTACAAGATGTGGAAACATAATATCTTGATCCTCAAGAATGGCAGCGTATATGGGTGTCACAGTGTTTTCTCTAATATCCATGGTGTTGTTCTTGTCTATACAGGATGATTACCACTTTCCATCAGTTGGGCCGTCAGATTGTTTCATATTCCAAGTTGTAAAAATAAAATTATGATCTATTTTTGAATAATTTGTTATTTTTTGTTGATTATGTGCATTAATATTGTTCCAGGAACTGAACGGCACGATAATAACACGCGAGGAACGCCGCGGGGCGGAGTATGACTACATGAAACAGTACGGCGCCGAGTGGAAGCTGGCACAGCACGATCTGGCAAAACAAGCGGCATTCACGTTGGAGCACTGCCGGTTTGAAGAATTAATAAAAAGTGAGTATTTGAAAGCTAGTGTGTAGTCCCGGCATAGAATGGTCCCCCTTCTTCCCCCGTGGGTGCCGTAAGAGGCGACTAAGGGAATTTAATCATTAAGGGATGGGCAGTAGCGCGAACAAACATTACCAAAGTTTAACTACGGTTGCTTGTAAGGGGGAGATGATAGGGTATCAGGTCGACCACCACGTCGTCCCCCTAGAAACTATCGTGCTGAATTCCAGATGTTTTCATCACAATGGGCTCACTGCCTCACTGGTACCCCGCCAGTGTATACCGTTAGTGTAGGTGAGGTTACTATTTTATTATCATCCATTGAAAAAAAAACTACGGTTGCGGGGGGGAGGAAGGGACTGTTAGCAATGGAGTTTAACAGCCCCATTGCTAGCAATATACCCTATCAGGTCGACCTCGACGTGGTTCCCCCTGGAAACCATCATGAATAATTCTTGTTGAATTTGTCACGATGGGCTAACTGACCTGCTTCATCCTCACATATCATCTTTCACTGGTGATATGATGATGACGAGTAAGCAGCGATCATACTTTCTGTAATGTTTTAACAGCTGTAACATCGTATATGCAATGCAGTACAATTCATACATATAATTAAAGTATGATAGTTATTTTCAATAATTATTAAATGATTGAAAAATATCAAAGTGGATCGGATTTGAAATCTCATCTTCTACGCCATGCCGGGGCCGGTGCTCTTACCTGTTGAGCTGCTGAGCTGTTGAGTGATATAAGTAACATCTTATTAATATATTATTTATTTATTTAAACTTTAATAAGCAATTATATAAGTAAGTGTACATATGACGACCTTAACACCTAATGGCGTTCTCTACCAGTCAACCATGAGGTATACTCCAATTTAAGTAGGCGGTGCATTTACTATATATATATATATATATATATATATATATATATATATATATATATATATATATATATATATATATATATATATATATATATATATATATATATATATATATATATATATATATATATATATATATATATATATATATATATATATATATATATATATATATATATATATATATATATATATATATATATATATATATATATATATATATACATACATATATATATATATTGTCGGATTTTTCTACTTATGAAATCCCCGGGTACAAAGTAGCAGGCAAAAATTAGTATATAATGCCAGTACATTTATTCAATGAAACTGATCAATGTTTGATTAAATACTCAATGTTGAATTGATCATTTTTTTTATTGACATCATCAGATTGTGTATGGCCTGTCGACATTCTTTTTTTATTGATGTGTATAGACAATCTCCTTTTTTTTTTTTCAGAATATGGCATTCCTGAAGACAGCCTGCTAGTGAAACAACCGAAGACAACAACTCTCACATCGCAATTGCTAGAAGTAACACTCCAAGATGAAAACGAAAAGAAAATAAAAAAGAAATTCCCATCCACAATGCTAGTACAGAAACTGGTCATACTCGCTCAAAGACTGTTCTCAAAACCTGGCAATACTGGAACACCAAAGCTTTATCTCCTCGACGACCAGATGAAAGGCGCTGAAATATATTTAGACAACGTCATGAAAGAGTTAACATATTTTTCAGTCAAAAATGGCGATACCATTCTTGTAAAATTCAGATAATTTAGAAAAAATAATTTTATTGCACTGGTAACACTAGAAGGCGATTACGTTTAATTGGCGCGAGTTTTGCGTATGTTTTTAATTTATAAACCCGAGCTTTGTAAATAATGTTATTTCTAAATTAATATATCTATTGCGATATTTATTTTTCTGAAAGAATTCCAAAATAAATATGATATGTATTTTCATTTGCATGTTTCATTTAAATATTCTTATAATTTTATTCATTAATTCTTTAAATCGAAACTGAATTGTAAATCAGTGGTAATACTCCTGAAAGTGAATATTTTGCCGAAATATTGAAAAATAGCTATCTACAAAAGAAGTAGAGTCGGGGCCATCGATTGGGCAGCGATTGGTTATACTAGTTATATTAGCGGTTGTGGTATTACGTAAGTATTGTCTGTAATATCAGCTTTTAAATAACGTTTTTACACTCCAATTGTTCTTCTGAATACATCTACATATGGAAAACAATACCTACTGCCTACCCGACATTACAAAGACATAACAGACGTCGTTAGTATATAGGTACGTAGGTAGGTATAGGCAGTATAGATATTAATCGAAGTAAACTAAACAAACGTAATTTTTATTATTAATAATTGTTCTACGTACATATAGGTACCTACTTACATCTGTTTTGTGTAAATTGAAACTGAACACCTGCAACCTTCATCAGAAAAATCTAACCTTGAGATTGAACGCGATATCGTGAACTAAGTTTATCGTTATTTAGTTCTGTGTGAAGTGTTAAACTAATTTATTTTATCACCGTTTTAATTTTGGAATTTATATTTTGTTTTAGGAAAGTGTAATGAAAATTTTATTAATCGGTTAAATATGGAGTAAAAATTCTGAAAAAAACATTTATATAATCGTAAAAATATATTTTTTTTTCTATGAAAAGATAAAAATAATTTTAAAATTGTCACTGGCCACATCGACGTCGATCGCCATTGGTAACCGTTATGTCAACAAAACTTTTTTGTTTACAAATGGCTAATGGCGACAAATTTGAAGTTGTGCCGCGTTCGTGCTTCTAAATAATACGTTTAGTATTAATTTAGCAATAAAAGTGTTCTACAAATATGGGAAATTGTTGGGCAGGATTATTCCGCCGGCGTAATATTCGGAGACACATAGTTTTAATACTGATCGGGTTGGACAACGCGGGGAAAACTAAAACCGTGAACAATTTGGCTGGTGAAAAGGATGATAAAGTTCTACCAACTGTTGGATTTAAGGCTGTTAATTTAGTGCATAAAGACACGCCTGTCACCATTTACGATTTAGGCGGGGGTCCGCATTTTCGTCAGATATGGTCTCAATATTATAGCGAGGTCCATGGTGTTATTTTCGTAATAGATTCTAGTGATTTTTCCCGCTTGGACGAATGTAGGGCTGTATTGGAAGAGGTATTATCTCACGACAAGATATCAGGTAATGTTATGTTCTATAATTATTTGTCATAGCAACCGTAATTTGCAACATACACGATTAACTTAAAATCTTGTTTTCTCTATCCACTCGACTACTCTAATTAGTTTTCCCACCCACTTATCAGCTCTTCATGCATGACTGATAACTTTATCGCATAGTAATACCATGGGAAATTCATGCATATAGTAAAAATAGAAATATATAAGCATGATTTTAGTATAGATGAAATGAGTCAATCATGTAAAATGAGTCACTAAAGTGTACTCATCAACTGACCTATAAAGGTGATTATAAATATATATGAAAATATCGAAATGAGGGTAGTCAAAATTATTATTGCATAATAAAACTAATCTAATGAATTATGAATTTGGGGGGGGGGGGGGGGGAAAGGGATTGTTAGTAATGGAGACTAAAAATATCATTGCTAGCAATATACCTAACCAGGTGGACCTCCACGCGGTTCCCCCTGGAAACTGTCATGATTAATTCTTCATGATGAATTCATCATGATGGGCTAATTGGCCTGTTTTCATTCTCATCTATTACCCTTCACTGGTGCTCCGCCAGCGTATCCCGTTAGCGCAGGCGGGGTTACCATACCATTTTCATCCAACAAAAAAAAATGAATTATGAAAAGTACATATTAATTGTTACTTTTTTAAGTTTTCTGTAAATGGGGGCAAATATTAATTTTTTAAATTAATTAGTCTGAGTTATGCCCCCAGGTCTTTATTACTTGGTTTCTTATATTAAAAAAAGGGTAATCTAGCTTGAGGATCAGATAAGTAGTTATGTATGAAAGAGGAAGGGTTGAAAAGGAGTTAACTACCCTACTGCTAGCAGTGGGGGTCTATCAGGACCACCTCCACTCTGTCTCACCGTTCATCATTGGCATCTTATTAGCATATATTGGCAGTGCAGGCGAGGTTACTATTTCATTAATACACATAAAAAAAACAGAATGTATTTTTTTTATGTTTTCCTTGCCTTTTTACTAATTGAAAATTAATTAAATATATTAGCCACAGTGTAAAGAATTCTATACAATCTTAAATTATAGTAATGTATTATTGTAGAGAGTTCTTGATACTGTGACCTAATATAATATTGTTAAAATATATTTTTTTTATAATAATTATTTAATTTACCTATTTTTATTATTATTTTAAAACAATAATGAAATATCCTAAATAACCTTAGCGGTGTAGCAGTTTATAACACCACCTGATGTTTAGATGCAGGTTCAATCCCTGCTCAATACAAATATTTGTTTTTATGAGTATTACTGTTTGAATTCATTTAGGTGTTTCCTATATACAATAAGATACATATATACATACATATCTGTCACGCCTGTCTCCCATTAGGGTAGGCAGAAACAATGGAACGCCAAATGTTTCGATTCAAAAAAACCTCTTTCGCTTCTTCTTCTTCCTCTTCTTCTTTTTTATATACAATAAGTATGTAAATAAAAAAGTATTTAAGTATATCTATCCGTTGTCTAGTATTCATAGTACAAGCTGTGCTTAGTTTGGAACTAGAGGGCGCTGTGTAGTATTTATTATTGTTATTAAACAATATTTTTTTTTAAATATTGATTTTTATATTAAACTGATGTAACAAATTATATAAACAGGCAAGCCAGTGTTAGTGTTAGCCAATAAACAAGACAAGTCGGGGGCGCTAGACGATATTGATGTAGTTGAAAAATTGAACATTGAACCATTGGTCAACAAGTAAGTATACATTTGTATTCTAGTGAAACTATGTTGAATTTGTTTATGTAAAGTAGTAATGTAATATAGAGTCTAGGACAGTACACTACCATTTAAAGAAAGTCTTATCAAAATCGGTTCAGCCATTTGCATTATTAGCCATGGAGTGTATTCAAATTTAAGTAATAATATGGTATGCAGCAAGGCTTTTTGAATTTTGTTTTGAATAAAAATATAGTTAATATTATAGTTAATAGTGAATAAAAATATAGTGAATAAAAAATAGTTGCACATGCATTTATGCCATAGTAAATGACTGGAAATAAAGTTAGTTCTATTAGTAGCGGTACGCCATTATTTACCCTGGCCTGTTCTCACACCCTGTGTATTCACAGTAGGCTTGGAATAACGAAATGAGGAAGTCTTGTAAAGGGTGAATGAGAAACTAACATATATATAAAAGAAAAAAATTATGCTGTATCAAATCGCAGCTTAAGTCAACTAAGACGCTTAAGCTAAATACTCATTTCCCAATCGCAAACCAAATAATCTTGGAAAAAAAAACTAACATTAATAAAAAACAATAGAGAATAGAAGAAGCAAAATGCTGAATCACATTATAGGACATGACGATTTTATTTAAGCAGCATACTAGAAGGCAATTGAGGGTAAAAGATGAAGGGGAAAACTGAGGAATAACTACATGGGACAGATAAAATAAACACTGTCATGTCGTGTAGGCCATCTCTTTGACCTCTCGTCAAAGAGATGGCCTGCAGTAGAGCTGGCTAGAAGAGAATGCATGAATTAGTTGCACCGACAAGAGGAAACTTAAATGAAAATAGAGGTTTCTTCAGGGTCGGCAACGTGCACGTGACACCCCTAGTGTTGCAGGCGTCCATAGGCTTCCAGAGGGAGACTGTACAAAAGTCGATTGCTTGGGTACCTCTATCCCATTCGTGTTTCAACCGTGAAGCAACTGTGTTTGCATGGCTGTGTTTCAGTTTGAAGGGTGGAATATGGCGTCAATTTACTGGGTACAGAGGAATAACACCAGAGTCAGGAATGACAACGCATAAGGGGTATTATGGGCGAAACAGTATACTGTGTTATGTCCATGGTACTGCTCATGTCTATAGGTGACGGTTAACACTTTCCATCAGGTGGACCGTCAGCTTGTTTGCCATTCTAAGTTGTATAAAAAAAAAGGTTACAGTAACCATTTACCATTACGAGCTGTATGCTCGTTAGCCACCATGTTGGTATAAAAAAGAAGTGCGGCGTGTTTAACAATATCCCTTTTATTTTTCCATTCTCTAGATATAGATGTCCAACCCTAGTGGAATCCTACAGTGCATTCGTCGATACGAAATCGAAAAAGGTAAAAATCGACCCGGGCCTTCGCAAAGGTTATCAATGGCTACTGAACTATATCGTTCGGCGATACGGCGATATAAATCTACGTGTGCAAACAGACATACACGCAGACCTGGAGCGACGAAAGCGAATGCTCAACAAAAACTCTAATATAGCTTCCCAAACGTTCACCGCTGTCAGTGATGATATAGCGACGCAAACGGGCTTCGAGAACCCCAACTATACCGTTGAGGACCGAAAAGAAGCCTTAGACAAAGGCGTTATTGTTGTCAAACCTGTGACTCACAACCCTAACAGCGTCGACACCACTTTGACCATCGAGAGTGTTGAAGATTCTGACAATACTAGTGTAAAGCCCAAACTCTCCCCGCTCTTTGGGAGGGCCAGTAATAGTTCTGTGACGGAGACCGTGAGAATAGAGCTGGAGCCGAGGAGTGAGTTTAGAAAATTGTCGCCAATCGTGAGGAATAGTGGTGCAAATCATATAGATTTCAAGAATAGACCGCAGTCTAGTCCTACCTTTAAGAAAAATAAGGTAAGACAATGTCTATAAATATCATCGCCATGTTTCTACTCTTATACTTATGTTTTGGCTTTTGGTTTTACGACCGGCCGCCTGCTTTACGTCAATCCTTCTAAGATATATTTGTATTTCAGTAAAGACTTAGCTCTTTCTAGGGTTTTGTAAGGATAGCAGGATTCGGCACTTAGATCTCTGCCAACTCTGCAAAGGGAAAAGCTTGATGTAAACATAGTTTTTTTTTGATGGGTGAAAATGGTATGGGAACCCCGTCTGCGCTAACGGGATACGCTGGCGGAGCACCAGTTAAGGGTGATAGATGAGAATGAAAACAGGCCAGTTAGCCCATCATGATGAATTCATCAGGAATTAACCATGATAGTTTCCAGGGGGAACCGCGAGGAGGACGACCTAGTTGGGTATATTGCTAGCAATAGGATTCACAGTCCCCATTACTAACAATCCCTTTCCCCCCGATGTAAACATAGTTAGACTTGATAATATTTTATTTTTATTTTATATAGCCTTAGACTCTGGAGACTACATTATGGGGTTCTTAAAAAAAGCTATATTAAAGTTTCTTCAAGGTCGGTAACGCACACGTGGCATTCCTAGCGTTGCAGGTCTTTAGGCTACAGTGATCGTCTACCATCAGACACGCTGTATGCTTGCTTGCCACTTTCGTGGTATAAAAAAATAATCTAATGTTTAAGAAACATGCTGCGTCACCCAAAAAATAATTATATATATTTACATACATATCTGTCACGCCTGTCTCCTATTGGGGTAAGCAGAAACAATGGAACGCCAAATGCTTCGATTCAAACAAACCTCTTTCGCTTGCTCCATATTCATCAATCTTTTCATACACGTTCGCAGGTTACGTGTACTTTTAATTTGGCCCTTCTTGGTCTACACACGCCTATTTGGTCGACACACGTCCGTCTAGGGCGGCCTCTACCGACACCTTCATTTAAAATTACTTATGTATTATTTTTATTTTTAGTCGAGTTCACTAAGCAAAAACTCCTCGCTCGATGGGGACGTGAAGATTCAGCCGCGAGACGTTACCACGTACCTCGGCGACGGGAACCGAACCTGGGACGTGACGGAGTCGAAACACCGCGTGCTAGTCAACGACGCGGAGTTATCTCAAATGCACAGGGAAATTGTGTTGACCGAACGAGGTATGAGATGAGAATCTTTTGTACTTATGACGACGACCTTGATGGGTTTATTTATTTATTTAAACTTTAATGCACAGTTAAATTCTATGTACATATGGCGGACTTAACACCGGACGGTGTTCTCTACCAGTCGACCATTGGGCGAACAGAGAAATAAATAGGTGGTGCATTATTGATTTTTTTTTATACAACTTAAAATGGCAAACCAGCTGACGGCCCAACTGATGGAAAGTGGTAACCGTCGCCTATAGACATGAGCAGTACCATGGATATAACAGAGTATACTGTTTCGCCCATGATACCCCCCATGCGTTGCCATTCCTGAGGACTCAGATGTTATTCCTCTGTACCCTGTAAATTCACGCCATATCCCACCCTTCAAACCGAAACATAGCCATGCAAACACAACTGCTTCACGGTTGAAACGCGAATGGGAAAACTAAAGTAATACTTGAAATATTCATATATTATAAAAATATGGATACCGATCTAATATCCAAAAATTAATATTAATATATATAAGGTTATTTTTGCAAGCAATAGAGTTTACTTCCATTTTGGGTCCATTGTATCGTCCCAAACGGCGCTTCAATCGATCGATTATTCGATTCTTAATCGAATGTCCACACCTCGCGGATATGAAGCGATTACATTATTATTAAGTTGGAGGGCAGTTAGTGAACTTGTCCTTGCACTCGGCTTGAGATCACGTACCGTCGCGGATCAAGAGCATAACCGAACAGTGATCTAGGAGATCATCATATTAAAGATAAAATATTGTGTATTTAAAGATGTGTGTAGGCCTACCAATCAAGCATCTATAACAGCATCCAGTCAATGGTGGAAAGCAGTGCGGCGCATGAGATTCCTTCAAGTAAGTGCACGTACCTTCTTAAATATTGTAATCGCTTCATCCTCATTATCAGAAGTAAGGACAAACGTATTTCCACCGCTTAACAGTGTCCCTACATCCATATTATCTATGTATCAATTAAGGTGAAAGTTTTTGAATTGTTCTATGTGTGCACAAAGGAGTTACAAACTTTCATGTTTTCGAATTTAATTAAGATTAATTATATATTATGTATTTGTTTTTGAGATTACACCAGCAAAACCGCATCGTCGGAGGTGACCCTGCAAGCGTCGACGTTACCCCTCGCCGTCAGACCAGCGTCCGCTTCGCAACTTGTGAGGCGACAACTGGAGTTAACTACTCATCACAAGCGCAGGCTCAGTCTTAGATGTTAGTATGTTACCAGAGAGAGACTGTATAAAAGTCGTTTGCTTGTACACCTCTGTCCCATTCGTGTTTCTACCGTGAAGCGGTTGTGTTTGCATGGCTGTGTTTCGGTTTGAAGGGTGGGATATGGCGTGAATTTACAGGATACAGAGGAATAACACCTGAGTCCTCAGGAATGGCAACGCATGGGGGGTATCATGGGCGAGACAGTATACTCTGTTATGTCTATGGTACTGCTCATGTTTATATGCGACGGTTACTATTTTCCATCAGGTGGGCCGTCAGCTTGTTTGCCATTCTAAGTTGCATAAAAAAAGTTTTGTATATCTACTATATCTTTTTAAGATTTTTGCCTTCTTAACTGGTGTCCCACCAGTGTAGGATTAAACGGTAAAAATGAAGTCGTGACAGTTGGCTCTTCATGGGGAATTCACTAGAAATGAACCATGATGATTATCAGCTTTATAGTGTCCTGTCCTCTCTCCTGTGACTGTCTCTCTCCCCATCTCTTTGTTAAATATAGGTGAGACAAAATCGTGTAGATGGGAGATGACAGGTGAGGGGTGGGTTACTAACAAAAGACTTGTAGCCTTTTTGCTAGCAATATATCCTATCAGGTCGGCCTCCACGCGGTTTCCTTGGAGACCATCGTGGTGAATTTCCATTTTTTTTTATTGTTAAATGGTGAAAATAGCATGGTAACACCGCCTGCGCTATCGGTATACACTGGCGGGGCACCAGTGATAGGTGAAGATGAAAACGTAGGTCAGTTAGCCCATTGTGACGAATTCAACGATAAATTAGTCACGATAGTTTCCAGGGGGAGCCGCGTGGATGTCGACCTAATAGGGTATATTTATAGCAATGGGGACTAACCTCCCCATTACTAACAATCCCTTCTTCCGCAGTGAATTTCTATTGAATCAGTCATGCCGTTGACGGGCCGTTGACCTGACCTCTTATAAGTTTCTGGTGATCGTAAACGCAATAGCGCAAGCAGGGTTACTAATTCAGCCCCCAGTTTAAGATTTATATCATTGCCCTCAGACATGCAACGCAATAAGACGAGTCCGGAACGCATGTCCATGCTGGTATTCGAACCTAAGGCGCCGCGTCGCCACGACAAGGGGGACTTTGACCACGCCGCCGCTGCCAACTAGCAATAGGTAACTGTTAAAAATATACTTCAATTTTGTTTTTTATTGTGAAAGAGTGCCTTGATTGACTGCGATCTCACTTGATAATGTGATGATGAAGCTGTCTTAAGATGAAGCTCGCGGGTCTAGAAAATTGCCTATTTCCTTTTGCCATAAATAGGTCCAGATTGTACAAATGCGTAATATTTGCACCCATTGCACCCACACGCACGCACATACGCAAACGCACGCACGTGCACGCATACACACACGCACGTACACACACACACACACACGCACGCACTCACGCAAACGCACGCACACACATACGCACGTACGCACACACGCACGCACGCACGCACGCACGCACGCACGCACGCACGCACGCACGCACTCACTCACGCACGCACGCACTCACTCACGCACGCACGCACGCACGCACAAACACAGTATACAAATAATCACCGCTGTACAACTCCATTGGAAGTTGCACAGCAGTGATTAACGTACACACAATGCAGCTTGCTCGCCATCATACTCAGGATGCTGTTGGCGCTGGCACGTACTCTGCGCACCAGGGATACGCACTTTTTCCGCATCGTGGTATAAAAACAATCTACACGATGCTCTGCGAACACGGAGTTCTAAAACATTTGCACTCTGTGTTCATCAGAATAACCTACTCATCCATATGTGTTTTACTTTTAATGAAATTTCCGCTAAATGTCCTCAAATTTATATCTTCAACTCACGTCTGAATGCCTTCAAAACATTTTACAAACAAATTACCATCGAGTCTCTTTGGCGTGCCCATATTTTTATATATTTTTATTATTTGCATGTACTTCCGTGTTATTTACCACATTCATATGCTTTTTTTTATATAATTTAACATTGTTTGCCAACTGCTTTAACTATGCTGTGTGTACACCTGTCTGGGTCTCAATCTAGTTCATACTATTGTCTTTATATAAATATTTATAACGTTATTAATTGTAACCTGTTGTAAATAAAAAAAAGCCATCCCCGACACATTACAGTATTGTGACAGTCCAATCAACATATATTTATTTATTTATAACATGGACATAACAGAGTATACTGTTTCGCTCGTGATACACCCCATGCGTTGCCATTCCTGAGGACTCAGGTGTTATTCCTCTGTACCCAGTAAATTCACTGCTACATCCCACCTTTCCAACCGAAACACAGCTATGCAAACACAACTGCTTCACGGTAGAAACACGAATGGAACAGAGGTACCCAAGCAATCGACTTTTGTACAAAGTCTCCCTCTGGTAAGAAATGATCGCGCAGTTTTTGTTAAATACGTATACTACATATTGATTTGCAGCTTTGTTTATTTGTTGCCAAAGTGTCTGAAGCAGTTATTGCTGCCAAGCAATGAATATGAGATCCATCTACTTTGTGTTTAATCGATATTTGTTTATATTCGTTACTCGGTTCTCCTTGGTTTCCTATTAAATCGAATTTAAATAAATAAATAATAAATAGATAGATTTATTTTTTCTTCACAATTCATTACAGTGAAATACAATGAGACATGATTATATTAGAGTAATCAAATTATAAATATAATTGTGAGAGACTGGTGCCTGAGATAGGTATAAGCATACCTCCTGTATTACAGGTCACCAGGGCCTCACTCCGCAAATTAATCTTATACGATTTATGTAGCGATGTACTCAATTAGTGTTTTTTTTTATTTTTGTGGCAACCGCCGCCTTTGAGCTACTACAACATAATTTGCATCTGAAACATTTCAGATATTTCAGCTTTTCTTTCTATAGATTCATTATTATTATTTAATACTTTATTGTACACAATAATTGTACATAAAAATTTGTCAGAGGTAATGAAGTGTACAAAGGCGAGCTTAACTCTAAAAGAGGTCTCATCCAGCAGCACCCAAAGTGGAAAGGAGCATCAATACCAGAGGGAGACTTTATACAAAAATCGATTGCTTGGGTACCTCTGTCCCATTCGTGTTTCAACCGTAAAGCAGTTGTTTACATGACTGTGTTTCGGTTTGAAGGGTGGGATAAGGCAGTGAATTTACAGGGTACAGAGGAATAACACCCGAATCCTCAGGAGTGGCAACGCAGGGGGGATATCACGGGCGAAACAGTATACTCTGTTATGTCCATGGTACTGCTCATGTCTATAGGCGACGGTTACCACTTTCCATCAGGTGGGCCGTCAGCTTGTCTGCCATTGTATGTTGTATAAAAAAAGTCAGCGGGTAGAGCGGTGTACAATATTGTGAATTTTTAAACAAATGAATTAGACGAACTTAAGTTTATACATAATTACATTATATTTATTTATATATATACACACATACATAAATACCTACACCTTTCTACTTATTGCAAGGAGACTCGAGCGTAATAAATGGTCTTAAATATTTATAAATGTGTTTTTGTTTTAGGAAATTACATTTCGTAGTTGCCTCTGTCGCGTTGGACCAAGATCGAAGTGCTTAAAGTATAAGTTATATATATATATATATATATATATATATATATATATATATATATATATATATATATATATATATATACACACACACACATACACAGCGAACGCTCTATATACGCAACTTCTTTATAAGCAATATTCTTTATATTTTATTTATTCTACTCAGCTTAGTAAAAGAAATAAGGAAAAAATTTTCCACACGGTAAGTAATTTTATACTCCTTTTTTCCCCTATAAGCAACTTTTCCCAATAAGGAACTCTTTTATTGAAAGTGGTTCAAATGAGTTGCTTATATAGAGCGTTCACTGTGCGAGTATATATTTGTTAAACAGGTACCCCCATGATGCCGATAAAACTTTAATATTAGACAATTTTATAAATATTTTGTTTAAATTTTAATTTCTGTATGTCATACGAGAAAACGACAAATTTTGAACGCCTTATTAAGCAGTTTGATAATGATATGCGTGGTAAAGTGATGGATATACAATGGTACCTCGAACGTTTAATTTGTTCCGTAACCTTGGTTGTATCTCAAAGCAATTTTCCCCATTTAAATTAAATTATATGCCATTAGAGGGAGAGGAGGAAGACTTTGTACAAAAGTTGATTGCTTGGGTACCTCTGTCCCATTCGTGTTTCTACCGTGAAGCAGTTGTGTTTGCATGGCTGTGTTTCGGTTAGAAGGGTGGGATATGGCGTGAATTTACTGGGTACAAAGGAATAACACCTGAGTCCTCAGGAATGGCAACGAATGGGTGGTATCATGGGCGAAACAGTATGCTCTGTTATGTCCATGGTACTGTTCATGTCTATAGGCGACGGTTACCACTTTCCATCAGGTGGGCCGTCAGCTTGTTTGCCATTCTAAGTTGTATATTAAAAAAAAAAACTCACAAAAAGCAACCTCAGTTGTTTTTGTCAAGTTTTAGTCTGAGGTGGGAGAAACTGTTAGATACCAACGTCCAGCCCGCATGTTGGGGTCGTGTGCAGCGGTGTAGTGTGCGATTCCTAGTATCTTAAATCTTGGTCTCATCTCGAAGTATCGCTTGCCCGGCGGTTCATATCTCAAAACACTTGTATATTAGGTCGCTCGTATATCGAGGTACCATTGTTTTGTGCCGAAATACCGGATTCGATTCTCTATGAGAACAAGTTAGGAGACAGACTTTTCTTGACCTTAGTGTATAACATATTTCTTTTCTTTTATTTTATAAATAAACATTGATCTGATGTAAACAACGTTCCAATAATAACTATAGTAAATTTTTGAACATAAAATCAGGGTTGCCATCTGTAGAATTATCGAATTCAAAGGCTTCAAAATTAGATAGATAGATAGATAAACACTTTATTTGAGCCATTTATGACACACGTAAATTAACAAATGAGTTTATACAATCAGATTATTTACATTTTTTCAAATATAAAACAAAAGATAAAGTATGGAGATATGTTTTCACCAAGTGTGTCGCAGTGACCCAAATAGTGTTTACAAACAAATTACAAGTGTGAATGTTGAGATTCGATACTTGATCCATGACCTCTAGGATAAAAATCTGAATAACCGTGGATTTATAAGCTTACAAGCAAAGAAAATAAAAAAAAGGATGGCAACTCTGCTTTAAACGTTTAATTTTTAAATTGTTTTTTGTTATTTAACTTGTTTTTCTGTAAGAAATAAGATTTCTTTTTGTCGTTGATGCAATATAGTATTATATACATAATATTATTTTAATATTTAATATAGTATTAATATTATTGAAAAAGAGGTAAAAAAGCCAATAATTCATACAATATAATGTATTTCTTTTTTTTTATGGGTGATAATGGAATGGTAACCCTGGCCGCGCTAACAGTATACACTGGCGAGACACCAGTGAAGGATGATAGGTGAGGATGAAGCAGGTCAGTTAGCTCATCGTGACGAATTTAACAAGAATTGTTCACGATGGTTTCCAGGGGGAACCACGTGCAGGTCGACCTAATATTGCTAGCATTGGGGCTGTCATAACCAATCACTTTCCCCCCCCCCCTAGTGTATTAGATTAGTTCGCACATAGGAGAGAGAAGTCTTAGATAAATACCTCTCATTGGACCACAAATAAGTAGTCAAGAGTCCTTAGTGTGAGTTTAACTATGATTTAACACACTGCGTTAACCTGTACATTGAATTCAAAATTTAACCGCGCCTCTAGCGGATAGTTTCGGAAACTTCATACTTGTCTATGGTTTATAAACTGGTTATGTCTTTGTTTCAGCAGGAAATGTCGAGATAACTCTATGCAAATTACCATCTATAATTTAAAATTGCGTTATTTCTTATAAACTCTAAGTCTTGAGAGTTTGAAAGTTAATATGCCATGTCTTGGTATAACTCACATTAGGTACTAAGAAAGGCGAGTTACTGTCTCGCCGTCTATAGCTTACATCCATGTAAATATATATAAAAAAAACAAACAGGGTATAATGGTTAGACATATAGTTAAGTAGTATATTAGGTACATTAAGGGACCCTTTGTGTAAAT